TACAAGGTTGAGTTTGAAACGGGCGACTGTTCAGTATTCTTTGCTTCTTGGATTGTAATTAGCATCCTCGAACTATTTCGCATGATTTGGAGCAACATCTGACAAAGTGGGGGAACGTGCTCATCCGTTACTATCACTGAAAGTCAACTATTTGAACTCATTACAATAAAACATGAAAGATATTTTGTGTTTCAATAATCAAAAATTAGAATTTTGCACTTGAGAGTGGTTGATACTTTCGTAGCGGATTATTTCATAGTGAAAGCGATCAAACTCCTCGGCCTTAGGGGCTTTCTAAAGAAGTATTTAGAGACAATTGGAATTAGTTTGGTCTAAGATGAGTCTAAAAAAATATTTGAATCTGTGTTGATGATGGTTAAATGGATTAAGTTGTTCGATTCATAGCCAACTTGTTCATCAGCAATACACTTATTTATTGAAGTGGTATTTTCTGTTTTTCAGAAACTAATTGATGTATATATCGAGACCTTGACCATGTTACATGCTATGGAATAGCCAGTTAGGTTGTATAACCTAGAAGCGTAATTTGTTGAAGTACTTCGCATTAATTATATGTATAATCTTTGTATCTTTAACCGTACCAAATCTTACCATTGTGTCTTAAATTCATCTATGGGAAATACGAGTGTCTACTTTTTAACCAGATGATATACAAAATGTAAACCACACCGACTTAGACGTTGAGCTGACTTATTTGAACTGTGACATTTTTGGTTATGGGTCTATTCGGGTAAGCTTGTTGGATCTTTATCTCGGGGTTAAGATATTTTTGTTTGAAATCAATTCATTTAGAAAAAATTAATGGTTTCGAATATGTAGCAGCCAAAGTTATCAGGAGGAATTAAGATCAATCAATGAGCTGCACTTATAACAAATACATTATATCTCGAAACGTGAAGTATGTTTTTACTTATTTTACCAAGAGATAATAGTTCCCACTTTCCTTGGCCGGAAGGCGGAACGATTTTCCGTTTCAGCAATATACACCCGAGCTCCACTTGCTCTTCCTACTCTGTAAAAACCAATGTGATCAAACTGTAGATCACTTTTGACTTGATTTATTTACGAGGGGTAGATAGTAGTGCAGAAAACCTAATAAGTCATTGACAAATGAGAGATGCCAGATATAATTATTGTACTGTTCCACCAGTTGTATAGGACCTTAATAGTTTCACAGTTGAGACAGAAATTTTAGACTGAACATTCTGATGGACAGTGATATGAAGCCTATTATCATTTCACAAAACAATCTCCGTCAGTTACGGTCCAATTTGTCAATAAAACAAAGTCCGTTTCTTTTGTGCAAACGACCCTGGGTTTGAAGATGCAAGGTCTCTAAGAATTCGTGATTGCAAACTTAGACCTGGAAGTAATTATAATATTATAATATTATAATATGTTGTCCCATTTAGCCTTTGTTCAGCTTTGGGGATTGTGTGTCTAGGGCCCAATGCACTACATATGTCGAGAAGGGACCAATTTACGCTAGGTAGCGGTCGTAACATATGTGGAGCACGGCGTTTCCACTCGTGATCTGGTGTGGATGTGTGAACGGGCGCCTTCAGTTGGTGAATCCATTAAAACCAATGCGGTCAAGGTCAAATTCCAAGGACCTACAGAGCTATTGATTTAGGGATTTATCTATCACTGCTGATCACTACACACCTAGAGCGATAGTGCATGCGTTTCGTAACTATGCAAAAGCGTGAAAACGATTACAGCAGAATGAATTATCAGTTTTTTTTACAAAATAATGATATACACATATAAGCAAGCATATTAGGAACGAAAACATTTTTGGAATAAAACTATGCACATGAGGATGTTAAAACAGCTAGTTTTTGACGTAATAATACAAAAATAGTCGAGACGAAACATAGAGTTATGTAGTGTATTACGTGCAGTAATCATCTAGATGTTCCGGGAATCTTACTCTTCCGGAACGCGTTGTTAGAAGTCTGTTTTCAGGTACTAGCAAAGTACCACGATGATCGTTGGCTTTCGGAGGAATCGTAAGTCTCGGACCCGTGCCTTCAGATTGTACCGAAGTAAAATCGACGTGAATAGGGTTTCCTTTTAATTAATTTGCTTTTATGGAATCGATGCTGATGCTATCATTAGTCCAGTCCTTATGCGTTATATAGTACTTAGGTTTACGCTGAAGAACTTTGAAGGGTCTTTTGTATGTTGTTTTATCAGGCCGTCTAAGTTAGTCGCGAAGTACAAAGACGTGTGTACGTTATCGTAATTCAGGTTGAACGAAAACATTATTGAAAACAGGTCTAACTAAACGCGCTGCGTCTTTAAGCTTGCTCACGTAAGAGTTTAGATCCATATTCATTAAAGATGAAGTATCGACAAATTTTCCTGGATGTGCCGTTCCATAAACGAGTCCAGCTGCAGTACATTCAATGTCAGCTTGCACTTCACTGCAAATACCTATTAGGACGACTGGAGGAGCGTCAGTCCACTGAGGAATGTTTGCAACTGATAGTGAAGCTTTTAGTTGTCGGTAAAAGCGTTCTACTAATCCGTTTGCTTGTGGGTCATAGGCAGTCGTTCGGGAGCGAGTGATTCCTAAAAGTGTGGTCAGACAACGGAAAAGTCCAAATTCAAACCGGCGTCCGCGATTTGTAGTGATGGTTGAAGGGCTCCAGAAATGTGTCGTATGTCTGAAGTAAAGTGCGAAGTACAGTCCAGTTTTCGAGACTCACGAGATGAGTATTTGTCTGAAGATGAGCTTAAAGAGAAGGCAAGCGGTTTATGATCAGTCAGAAGGGTAAAATCTCAGCCTTCAACAGAATGTCGGAAGTGCCATACAGCACAGTATATAGTTAGGAGGTCCTTATCGTAAGTGCCACACCTGAATTCGTTGTTGAGCAATCGTATCGACAGCGATGACAAAGGATGTCAAGTGTGGTTAACCCATTGTTATAAAACATTGATTGAAGAGTTGGATGCGTCTACTGCGATACTAATAGGTGCTTGGGTGTCCTGGTGTGCAAGCATGATTGCATTTGCGATAAGCTCTTTAATTGTGTAGAGTGCTTTTTCGTGGTATTGTAGTGGCATTGGACAATGACCACACAATCCACAAAGCTGAACACGTGACAACTTAGAAAATAGATATTCAATATTTAACGCGGAGAAATACCTAACGATGGAGAAGGCGGGAAGAATGTATTGAATGGGTTGGAGTTGATCAAATGCCATGGCTCGCCCATGCAGGCGTGGTCCCTCTTATCTTATATCTTTTAACCATATTAAATATATTGTCCTATCTCTAGCCTAAGCTTGTTCTTCACCATGTATTGGTAATTGTTATGATGCAGTGAGTTGGTGTAGACGATGACGTAACTTCCACGTAAGATCTTATAGATTAGGCAGTTATATCATGACAAGTCTATAATTTTAGGATTAGGTCCATTATTAGAGCAGTACTAATATCATAGTAGACCATAGCTCTACAGTATCAAACAAGTTGATGAATTTTGCATTTTCACGAAGTTAATCGGTTGGAGATTTCATAAGGAATGCGCAGTTTGGTATAAACCGTCTATAAAAACTTTTAGACAGAAAAAATGATCTAAACGGGCCATCATCGAAAGTTCTTTGACCGATTACCTCTCTCATTCGTAATAACATGTCCGTTGCTGAGCTATGTTGCAGATCGATGTTATTGAGGAGTTGATCTAACCTCCGTCGATCGGTTAGATCTCCGCGTTTAAGAATAGATCTTTTTAGTGTTCATAAGGTTCCGAAACATCACTAGTAAACACACTAGGTGTAACGTACCTGCTGAAATCGCGCAGTAGTGCTTTTACTACTGCGAGGAGTTGTGTACGTGTGTCGTTTACGCCATGCTCGCAAAAATGGCCTTTGCATAACAGAACCAGGCTTCAATGTTGTCCAGCCAAGAAGGCATTAGTTGACATGAAGGTGGAGCAGTCTTTAACTTGATTACCTTAGAAGTATGTTCGGTCATGGCGAATATGAAGTACAAGAATGAACGAGGGAAGAATACCTGAAAACAGGGGAAAATTATCACAATATATAAAAATTAAAGTAAAGCAATGATATGTGAAGTTCCATGAAGGAACAGACCCACAGTTTACAAGTCCATGTACCGGATCACGTTGGCTCATCAATGAAGATGCCTCAGGTATTCGTAGTTTGACAACAATTTAACCAGTAACACTCTCTATGATTGGATCGCGCCCACCTGTTAAAGTAAAAAGTCAGAAGCCAGGACGTTCAAAGACATATTTGTTAGACCATAAATATATCGCGAAATGACCGATCTAAACTGGCTAGCAGTTACAGGTGAAGTTGAGAACGACGTTCACACTCGTGATCTGGTGAGTCCATCAAAACCTATATCGTCATCATCAAATGTCCAAGACTTACAGAGCTACTTATTTTGGGGATTTGTTTACCACTACAAAGCTAATGACATCGAAGATAGATAGTTGTAATAAGTCATACTCCAATCCCTGCAGTTTGGAGAAGTGAAACAGACAGTACGCTTGAAAGTGTCATTCGTCTAAAACTCACTTTATTTCACAGGGATTCTACCCAGGAAAATAGGCAGTAGAATTAGAGGGATAAAAGAAATAAGATTGTGATGGAGAAGACCAGATGTTATCTCTTACATTTCACTAAACTCGGTCTAAGATTCAATTCAAGTAGGTATTTAACGAACGTTCTATAATGGGTTGTACATTATAAAGAGATAATACAAGTTGTAGAATAAATTATCACAAGGGATTTTACTGCGGATGCCAGTCAGTTTCTAAGCAAACTCTTATCAAGTTTCATTTATTCTTCGCTTTTGCGAATTCCTGTTATGTTAATCCAAAAGCTTAAATATTTTTAACCGCATATACGTTTCTTGAGATGAGAAACTGAAAAGGTCTTTTGTTTGACATTTCGCAAACAAGAGATTGAAGTGAGGAACTGTTGATCCATCATCATTTGAATGAATTTGAATTGTATATTGTCCAGCGCAATGTTCGAGGTAGACGTTTCTTAAAGTTTTGGGTTGTTGCGTAATCATGCTAGTGGTGCGGGCATTTTGAAATCATATCCTTGATCTGATCGTGCATTTTATGGGTGTAAATGGGCGTTTTGTTGATGAATCCCAACAAATGGCAAGTTTTGACATTGTTTGTGTAGTCACAACTACTAGTAGTTATACCATTTATAAACAGTTGTTTATAAATGGTGATTTGTTTCGTTTATTTTAGTAATTAATGACTGGAAACACAATTTTTTTAGAGAATTTCACTCTAGTTCTCTGTTAATTCGTTCAAAGTGAAGAATATTTTATCACTAATATGTAAACATAGTTTGGGAGCTTTCGTAATAAAATATAAACTTCATACTGAGACCGTATATGTTAGTATATGGATGGCCAAGCAATAGTTAGTCGTCTGTCTGTAATTAATTGTGGGGTTAGGTTCGTATAAACGACTGGTGACTTCACTGTTATTAATGGTATCTCGAATGTGTGATCATATAGTCAATAAGACCGGCATCTTGTTAACAGGACGACTTAAGAAATGATTGTTCCAACTCATCTCGGAAAAAATACTGTGTCACGACTCCAATATTTGTGTTCTTATTGCTGTTTAGCTCGAGATGTCCAGTTATCTTATGTCTGGACTAGTCCAGTCGCAGATCCATAGACATTGGTAAACGAAATCGAAAATGAACTGTTAGATGTTTCTTGATAGACGTTTAATTATGCTGTATATGCTACACAAGTTTCACCACTGCTTTGCTGTTTCGCTATGATAAAATTTCATTGATAAGTACTTCGTAGGTAACGAACTTTTTACTGAATCTATTAGTAACATTTATGATTCCTTTACCGTGACTTTATAGCCGAGCAGATTTGTGAAGTTCTGTTGTTACTTATCATGAAGGAAGTTAATAAGGGCGATCAAAATGTAAGTTTCCCCCAAAAGTCCTGGTACGGCCGAAGGTGGTAAGAGTCAGCCGTCCCTCTTGAAATGCTCTCACATGTCCATGAGTATGCAGTCACCGCCGGGGAAGTCCTATCCACTGCTTTCTCGTGGCGGGGTTGTTGCTTACAAAATTGCGAGGACGTAAAGCGAATGTCCGGCGCTTTAACTGGGTTAGTGGATATGGATGACCCACCTAGGGAAGTTGGAAAACCCTGATTCCAAACCAATGGTCACATGAGCTCCAGAGTCTTGAGGGTACAAATGGCGTATGAATCTTTTGTTAGTCACTGACTGTCATAAGAATGCATATTTTAACGTTGCTCCACTGCCTTGTGGATTAGACCTCTAGGTCAAAGGTTCGGGGAGTGGCTCGTCAATGGTGGTCTTTCTTGACTTACAAGCAGCATTTGACTCCGTAGACCGCGAGATTCTGCGGCAATATCTGCCATTGAAGGCGTACTTCAGAAGTACATAAACCTTGTGAAGGCTCTTTACTCGAACACTACTAGTCGAGTCAGAGCTTATGGCGGACTATCATATGAATTTGCAACCTCAAGTGGTGCCGTTCAAGGCTGTCCACTATCTCCATTTTTGTTCGATTTCATCACAGAGATAATGTTGGAAATAACGTTCTCGTTGACTGAAGTTTTGGGCATTGATCTGCCAGGAGATTCACTTATCAGCTTAGAATACACAGATGACATAGTCCTGTTTGGTGAAGACTCTGATAAGATGCAGTGTCTTTTGGTAGCACTGAGAAATAATGTTAGGGTGTTCGGGAATGCATTACTCCGCTTCTAAATGCAATTTGTTGCTTCAGGACTGGCCTGCGTCAACACCTGAACTAAGGATAGGGAGTGAAGTAGTCAAACGCGTCGACAACTTCACTTATCTTGGATGTCTGATCAGCCCTAATGGGTTGGTGTCTGACGAAATCTCTGCACGGAATCAAAAAGCTCGTTTGGCTTTTGCCAACTTACGTGACCTATGGCGAAGGCGAAATATCCGTCTATCAATTAAGGACAAGTATACTGCTCAACAGTTCGTTCCGTTCTACTCTACGGCTGCGAAACGTGGCCATTAATAATGGAGGATACTCGTAAGTTACTAGTATTTGATCACAAATGTCTTAGAAATATTGCTCGTATTAGTTGGGATCACCGGGTAGGTAATAGTGAGGTTAGACGCAAGCTATTAGGGAATGATGGTAAATCAATTGATGAGGTTGTGAATCTTGATCGACTGAGATAATTGGGTCACGTGTTACGTATTCCTGAACACCGATTACCACGACGCTCAATGCTGGCTAGTCTTAGTGATGGTTATAAAAAAGTTAGGGACGGCGAAGCCAAAACATGGCACCAGTGCTTGAAATCACTAACTTCTAGTCTTAGCCATGTTGGTAGATGCAGACTACTTGGTTGGGGTCCGTGTGACTATCGTAAACAGTGGTTGGAGGCTCTGGGTAACATGGCTCAGAATCGATCACAATGGCGTAGGTGTGTAAACTCTTTGTCTTCACTTAAATTATGAGATTAAAATCGCTTCATATCTTTCTTTCTACTAACTAATTCTTTCTTCCTGTACTGTATCCATATATGCAATCTTTCTTTTATATATTACCACCATTGATTTAACTACTATGAATCTGGTTTTTATCTTGTTGTGCTAGTGAGGTATGGCAACTTGGACCGATGTACGTATGTGCCCTACTTGGTATAGATAGTAATCAGTGGTTTCTATGTCAGAAATGTTATCAATCCTTAGATTATTTTATTTACGACTTTTTATCCAGGTAAAATTAGGTAAGAGGAGCTGGAAGACGCACTTGCTGAAACCACTATCATGGACTCCAAATAGTAAAGCAAAACAAGCAAATACCTGCTGGGTGCAACTGTCTGGTCATCAAGGTTAGTTTCGAACAGCGAGATAGTTTGTCAGTGTTTTGAATAAATATCGCTTTTTTGAGAATTCCCCTTTTATTTGCTATCCTTCCTTTTAGGAACTGTTAATACTAAAAAAGTACGTACATAGAGTTTTGCTGCACTAAGAAATGAGTACTTGACATGAAAAAATTTGATCCTGCTTATTGTTATCAGGCACACTTAGATACTCGTCTGATAATAACAAACGGGTTTAGTTCCTCAGTTTTAGAAGTGTTATCATAGTTCCAAGGGAATTTATTTCGTTTTCTTAATAATTTTATAAATTTTGTATTTTTAAATGCAATATGGAAATATATCTACTTTTATTGTCTGTACTTAAGTTGTTTTGAAAATGTGTTTATTTTATACCATCTTGTTTCTATGTGATGCGGTTTGAATTCTTATTTGGTAGATTTCTTGATATCATGAAAGTTAGATGCAAGGCATAAGTAAGCCTGTGTAAACTTTTGTACAGCTTCCTAATTTGTGTCTGTAATTTATTTGTAAGTTGGTGATTTTTCAGGTTTGATCAGTTTGGAGCCATGAAATTGACTCAAATAAAAACACTGATAAACAACTGGCATTTCAGTGAATTAATAATACGAGGTTAAATATTACGTACATATATTGTTATGGTGTGATGAAGTTCCAATATCCCACTTCACATTACAAAGGATTCTGAAGGTTTTATTTTGTCTTGTTTTTGGCGAATACCTTAATAAAGCAATTACATCACTGTAACAAACTATATTTTTCAACCTATTAATCCAAGAAACTGCTTCAGTTTGTGGGATTCTTTACTTTGGAAATTAACCTAAAACGAATCTAATAAAAATAAACGAATCGGTTGAAATTCCTTAGTGAAATTATTCATTTATTTGAACACATAAATATTGGTACAATGGGGCACCAAATATATATGCGCCACACAAAACAATGAGAATGGGAAGAGAAAAAAGAAGGTAAGGAGCGTAAATAAAAAAAGAGGAACAATAACGACCAGATTAGTGAAAGGTAGTGTAATAATAATAATAATGGGGGAAATGGAAAGGTACAACCAGAAGAATTCTATCAGTTAAGGAGGATACAGCAACTTTTTATGAAGAAAATAAAAGGTTACAGCAGGATTGCCACTGGCTTCTGTCCTGAGCCATATCTGATAACGTCTCTAACCACTGTGTTATACGATCTCTCGGACCCTAGCCAGTGAGTCGTGAAGGACCAACAGAAGCCAGCCCTTTTCAGCTTTCTTTCGTACCCCGACACCATGTCGTACACTGAAATAGGTAATGACTGTGGAATTACTACAAACATTGTTTAATAATATGTCATCGTTTTTTACCTTGTATGTTTGCCGTTCGAAGAACTTAATAAAAAACCTCATTCATCCAATTAATGCGGAAAATAAGCGAATCTGTCAATTTTTTAATGCAGAACACCTTTGATTGACCTCTTTTTGTTTTTTATATGCTTTAGATAACACTGAAGTAATTGAAGGTCAAATACATATTACTTTCAATTACTTTTTGTTAATGATTCTTCAGGTAGCCTAATATCTAATGGTAAAGGAAGCGTTTTAAAACGTTATTGCCAAAGTGAAGCCCAATGTTTACTACAGCTCCAGCTAGATATACTCAGATCATTTGTCCCTAAATATCAAGGTGAAAAGCTGCTCGATGGTGAACGTATCCTTTTTGGTGTAATTGGTTTTTGCTGACGAAAGCAAACTAAATGATCAAAGGGAGTCACTATTCTCACTCACTAATATTCTTTTATTCTACGTTTGTGTAAACTAATGACTTCAGTAATTTCACCCAGCTAAACCAGTCCTCTTAGAGGATTTTATTAGAAGCTATATTATGTGCTTATGATTGGTTTTTCGGCTGATTCGTTTGTTAGGTGCTCCAGTTTTAACCATAAATTGATGTTTTACTCCACCATCTATTTAGGTTTGATATTATCTGTAGTCGTCGAATAATAGGTACAAGTCGATCTAAGGTGCAAACCTACATTTATTTATTTAAACACATAAACATTGGTACAAGGAGGCACCAAATACATAAACGCCACGCAAATCATTCGATTTACGTGAGGGCTGAAATACTGCACGGATGCCCAAACCGAAGGTAGTTTTCTTAGGGGGGCCACTCCCCGAGCCCTAGACCTAGAGTTCTAATCCACAAGGCAGTGGAGCAACGTTAAAATATGCATTCTTATGACAGTCAGTGACTAACAAAAGATTCATACGCCATTTGTACCCTCAAGACTCTGGAGCTCATGTGACCATTGGTTTGGAATCAGGGTTTTCCAACTTCCCTAGGTGGGTCATCCATATCCACTAACCCGGTTAAAGCGCCGGACATTCGCTTTACGTCCTCGCAATTTTGTAAGCAACAACCCCGCCACGAGAAAGCAGTGGGTAGGACTTCCCCGGCAGTGACTGCATACTCATGGACATGTGAGAGCATTTCAAGAGGGAGAGCTGACTCTCATAGTGTTGCAGGTAAATAAATTATTAGTTCTTTTCAAACATGTGTATTTTATTACTTGTATTCATTTCTTAACACAATATATTCAAAGGTTACGTAAAAATGCAGGATTTGCTGTACAATTTTAAATCACCATCAATAATGGACTGCAAGATTGGACAACGTACTTTTTCAGAAAGTGAGGTCATTGGAGACTCTTCAGAAAATATTCGAAAAGTAAGTTCATTTCTATTATTTTATGTGGTGTGAATATAATGATTGCTCCAGGTCTTTCGTTAATGAGTATTTTCGCTTACTGTTAACAGTATGGTAGGAGTGGGGCAAAATCTTCAACAGACCGTTCATATTTTGAAACGTATTTCTTCTCTCGTATCTCTCAAATAAAATAAATCAAATAATCGACCTGTATGAATTCGCATCACAAACTGACATTTTTGTTTTTATACTCAAATACGATGGTTGTAGTTTTCCAACTTCAAAAGGGCATATCAAAAGGGTTGCAAATTGTTTACAGCATCGTAGTTGGAGCTACTAATATTATAAACCTGATATACTATTGAAGTACTATATCTTCTTTTAGTCAGGATCCTCAAAATTGTTTGATTCGTATCCCGTATAATATAGCCAATGAAACTGAATGTTTTTTTATCGCTTAACACCACATTTTTTACAATTATGTAATGAAATGCTGTGTGTTTAATAAACCTCTTAGTCATATCAACAGTTAATAATCCAGCAATAATAATTCATAATTTTCCAAAAAATAGTTCTCAGTAATACTTGTTAGATACAATATATTGAGACCTTTTCAAAACATTTCTTTTGAATTGGCACCATTCTAAATTATTCATAATCAATACAGGTTTAATTTTATTTTTCTTATCTATTATTTCTGGGATTATTAACCTTGTTTTAAAAAATACAAAATAGGATCTCTACTTGAAAATGATGTCTACTTCGCCTAATGCACCGACTGAAAGAGAACATCGTGAAAAAGGTGTCTCGAAAGTACGCTATTTGCAGTGGCGTGATACAATTAGCTCAACGGCTGAGTATGGTTTTCGCATTGAAGCAATCAAGGTATAGTATTTCATGTCTTGTGGTTTAGTGGTTTTTGCGTTATTTACATCTTAACTAATCAGTCATAAACAACATAACACCTGGCACATATGTATATCGGTCCAAATTGCCATGTCATATAGAGGGATAAGATTTACAACGAAAAGTAAATTCGCGGAATAAAAGTTTCTAAATAATTTTAAAACTGGGTTTATGTGAATACACATAGTGAGTGCATCCGCCTCACTACGACTGATTCTGGAGCATGCCACCCAACATCTCCAACCACCGACCATAATCTCTTACCCTCACCTCAACCATTGGGTTTAAACTAAGTATGGTAACTCCAGCAGGAGTAGCTAATTGTGATTGGTTATTTATTTACAGTGTTTCTCATAGCTCAGTATACAAGCCTTTACGTAACTAACCGAAATTCATTAATCTAATTAAGTTTAAACACATGTTTATGCTTTAACTATTCATAATGAGTGTATGGATTTTAACCCGAAGAGTAACATTGATACTTGCTATGTTGACCTGTACATATGCATCAAATCTAACAATCTTTGATATTTATTACTGCACTTGTAAACTTGAATTGAGTTTCGATTCTTGTGGTAGGATAGTTAAAATTAAATTATGTATATGATAATATCAATGTTAGATGATCGTCAGTAAGATATACCATCAATAAGTTTGAATGAAGTCTTGCAGTTACATTTTATGGTTTAGTAATTGTTTTACATATATTACATTTTCCAATATAAGTTTATCAAACCTATCTTTCTTGATGACAATCTTATCGGTTAGAAATAAGTACTTCATTACTAAGACATTTAATTCATTGTTCTTTAACGGTTTAAATAAATAAATCTTGTTTTATGATTATGCGTAAACTTTTTCGTTATAAATTTCACAGCGTTTCCCACTACGTCTGGATAGTGTCATGAAAACAGTCTGGTAATTGAATCCTAAATGCCTTTAAACATCTACTTGGAGCAATCTAGTTTCGTGAAGGCCTTCTTAATTTATTGTTACATATATTCCTTCATTTCATTGTTTCATTTAGGACCGGTTTATTCTCTCCAGCTGTCATTGATACTACCATTGTTATTCATTTAATTAATTTCATCTCACTGTGCTGATTCTGCTTAGGAGTTTGATTTAAAGCACATGTGTGCCAAGTCTCTATGTTGTCTATGGCTGACTAGCTGACATATATCAAAGTATTTTGAGAAATTCCTGCAAGTTCATCCTCTTATTTATTCAATGGCTTATTTACATAGTATGCTAAAATTTCTAGTGTGTCACATTTAATTCAATTAACTGTCATCGTAAGGGCAATCAATAAAAGAAACGTAATAACTTGTCATCAGTTTACTGTACAACTAATCAATGACGTATATTGTCTGCGTTTTTCTGATTAACATGATGTCATCATATTAAATTAAATAACTTACTATTTTCCAGTCATTTCCTATCATTCATAACTAGTGATTTTATTGTTTTTTCGATCCATCCCAGTTTTTTTTTTCATTTTAACTAGGGACTAAAATTAACTTCAGCCAAGTAGAAAAAATATATCTTATGTCATTAACGGATTTGCTATCACTTTTATTTACGTGGTTCCAGATTTACTGTAATATTGATATTGTTTTTGAGGTTAACTAATCATCAGACCCTGCTCTTTCATATTTATTTCAGACTTTTGGTGAATCCACTCGAAAAGATTTTCAACACACCCATACATGGAATGAAATAATAAATCACTTTAAATTATTCATACAACACCGTAAAATAATTGCTGTAAGTTTAGATGCTTTTGTTTCATTTTTTTAAATATATAGGAATGGTTGCTTTTTATACTAAACCACTAACCTTAACTCTAAACTTTAACCCTAGATTCTTGGCTTTAACCTACTTTAACTATGAACGATGTAGGAACTCCTAAAGATCTTTTGCGTCCTTAAAAGGGTTTGAGAAAATGTTCTCTACTTTTATGTACCAACTTATATGCTTTAGTTTTTCTGATTTACTATAGGAAATCTGTGTACTCTCTGTAATGTCACTATTTTCCCTCCATAAAGTATTTATTTACGATAACTATTTTGTGATTTGTTAACAACGGGCTAAAATTGATCGCGGTTACTTTAAGCTCGTCCATATGCTATACCCTTACCACTAATAATACTACTGGGTAACTCATATCGAAGTGGACGTAATTTGATTTAAACCTCCAACCTAATTATTAGAACCCGAGTGTTTTAACCACTGAGATACTTAAATTTGCATAATAAGCTTCTATTTCGTAAGTGTTTCTTATTGCAAGATAATGATGATCACTATTATTAGCACACGTCATCGTAAACGTTTTATGGGATTACAGGGCATGGATTAGATTTTACATTCCTTAGTTTCTTTATTGTACATATACTTTTTTTAAAGTATGGCATGGATAACACCAGTTTGGTGATGTTCAACATACTTTCGGAGTTATCAACATGAATTTACCGCTCTTTTTGTTTTGTTTTTTTTATAGCAAAACTATTTAATCCGATTATTAAAGTTGAGAACTATATTGGAAGTTTCCGATTTCTTTGCCAAACATGAGGTTTGTCTTAATTTTATTTGAATTTACTTACTTTATTAGAAAATTTAAAACTTTCTGGTTAGATTTTTGAACGGGATTGTTAAATATGAATTTGTTCTTTGTAAGGAAGACTACAACATACATTTTAACACAGCTGGTGTCAAGAAAGGTCACCTATTCAAAGTTCTTATAATGTTATTTTTATGCTTCATTTTCAGTCGCTCTTGCAAATGTTTCATTCTGGAGACCTCTTCTTGTCCTGGTACTGATACAGCAATATTAAATTTTGTGAATGAATTACCTAGTTGTATGTAAATAATTAAACTAGTGAGTCAGCTGTGTTATTTCATGGCTTGAAAAAGAATCATGAACTGTCTTCACTTACCGTTCAACTTCACACTGATAAAATCATCATTTGCACATCCAAAGGTTTCCTAGTGTTATTATGACAGATTTTACGATGAACTCCCAAAATAATCACCCATAAAAATCCAGATCATATTTTACGTATCAAATTTTGACATGTATTTGTGTTCACCTAATAGGTCAATGTTAAAGTAAAGTGTAGTGAGGGTTTTCCTAGATGTGAAGCTGTTTCTAGTTTTGAATCAATCGTTTTAAATGTGGTCGGTGTTATAGAAGCATTTGACCAAGTCAAGCTATCTACTCATTAAGCGTTAAATTATACTATACGACAATAAAAAGTTCGAAAATAACTAGGAATTCCGGTTAGTAGTAGTGAATTTTCTCAGTTTTTGTGGATGACTGTTTGGTGTAATTATCTCCACTGTAATTTTATTTTAAAATAAACGTTGATTATTCATTATTTATTTATTTGAACACAAATATTGGTACGAAAGGGCACCAAATATATATGCACCACACAAAACAGTCAGAGTTCGAAGAGAAAAAAAGAACAATAACGACCAGATTAGTGTAAGGTAGTGTAATAATAACAATGATATTTAAATAGAACAAGAACAAACATTGATGCAGAATAGTATGAATTCATAATATTTCGAGGTTTCTCGTCAGCTGCTTACAACCAAAAATGTGATAGAATTTTTACATAGAGATAGTGTGAAACAATTGACATGCCTAATCGGATGGTTGGTATTAGCATATTTTTGGATGAATTTCTCCGGATATACATTTTCACGTAGGCAATTGATTAAGCATGTTACAGTGGAAAAGAAAACCTGTTTCCTATACTTGCACTTCAAAGGAGATGAAGTCATCGGAATTATCAATCACAGAATAAATTCCGCTTTGAAAGTGGCCTACCCGGCAGCCAAACTAACGACGTTATGGTAGACGAACTGCTCACTGAAACAAACTAAAATCGACAAGTCCTCTTTCCTCAGTAGCTCCAACTGCATTTACCAATTCAAATGTACGTGCCATAGCACATACATTGGAAGAACTGAGAGAAGAGTACATGTTCGCATTTCTGAGCACGTTCCGTAGAACTTGAGGCTGCGAGGGACTAAGGCTTTCAACAGCGCAATAGCTCGGCATCTACTTGACACCGGGCATACCGTCGACATTCTGCATGCTTTTAAAATTATCAATAGATAAAGAAGTACACTACTTACGATCACAGGATAGATTTTTGAGCCAATATGTTCATGAAGTACAAATTTTTAATGCTGTAAACCAAATAAATAATAAATACTGCGTACGAAGTTGTTACTGACTGACGACCACTCTCCGTTTTACTGAAGCCATTGCGATCAAAAAACTTAAACCGGAGTTATGCATTCAAAAAGAGACTTTAATAAACTAATCATGACCCTGGTAATCCTTTTTTGTGTTTTGGTTATTTTATTCATTTATTTATTTTAAAATATTTATACTCCTCCCCTATTACCTAATTCTTAAACTAAAAATTTTATTCACATATTTCCACCACCTGATCCCCTTAAATTGTCTTAACTTTTCAAATTCTATTTAATCATTATTACGTAACCTATTTTATCTTATCATTATTCAATTCCATTAATCGTTAAAATTATCACACAATTTATGAACTTCACTAAACTATTACACCACCCACCCTAAATTAATTCCCTTTTTAATCTCTGACCTGTTCTAGCATGTATATATATTTAGTTATTATTGTAATTCAGTTATTTACACTCATTTATGTCAATTGTTTCACACTATCTCTGTAAAAATTCTATCACATTTTTGGTTGTAAGCAGCTGACGAGAAACCTCGAACTATTATGAATTCATACTATTCTGCATCAATGTTTGTTCTTGCTCTCTTTAAATTTATAAAGGGAACCAATTGCATGAAACAATAATATTAATAGTAATAAGAATAATGGAGGAGACGGAAAGGTACAACCAGAAGAATTCTTTCAGTTAAGGAAGATACAACCACTTTTTTATGAAGAAAGTAAAAGAAGGTTACAGCAGGATCACCACTGGCTTTATTCTGAGCCATATCAGATAACGTCTCTAGCCACTGTGTAGCACCATCTCTCAGACCCCAACCAGGGAGTCGTGAAGGACCGACAGAAGCCAGTCCCTTGCAGCTTTCTTTCATGCCACGACACCATGTCAGGCACTGACCACCTCTCCGCTTCTTCCAACCAGTCCCGGCGTCGGCAAATAATACACGACGAGGAATTCTCTGGGACGACATTCGGAGAACATGTCCAAGCCACCGAAGTCGGTGTTTCAAGATGGTGACACCAATTGCATTATCGTCTCTGTGCCCGAACACACGATGCCGAACCTCTGCATTACTGACATGGTGTTGCCACTGAATGTCAGCAATCCTTCGGAGACAGCGATGATCGAACACAGAGAGTCGTCTGACGTTCTCAACTCGGAGAGGCCAGGTTTCACAAGCATAGAGCAAAACTGTGTCACCGACGCGTTGTAGATCCGACCTTTTACATCCAGACTAACATCACGAAGGCGCCAAAGATGGCCCAGATTGGCATAAGCCGCTCTGGCTTTCACTATACGTGCATTGATCTCATCACTCACACCCCCACCAGCACTTATGCAGCTACCCAGACACACGAACTTCTCGACTATTTCTATCTGCTCACCATCCAGGGTGAGTACAGGATTGGAATCCTGTCAGTCTTGTAGAAGTACTTTGCATTTCGAAGGTGCAAAGCACATACCATACCATACCTACGGACACTGATTGCCAACTGATTAAGTGCGGATTGCGTGTCTTGGGCATTATCGCACAGTAAGACAATATCGTCCGCATACTCAAGGTCTAGAAGTCTTTCTCCAGGCAACGCCCCCGAATGCCCTGGTACGGCCGAGAGTGGGGAGAGTCCGCTCTCCCCCTCGAAATATTCTCACATGGCCACGCGTATACAGCCTCTGCCAGGGAAGTTCTACTCACTACCTTCTCGTGGCGGGGGTGTTGTTTACGAAGATGAGAGGACGAACAGCGAATGTCCGGCACTTTACCGGATCTGAAACCATTGGTGCACATGGGCTCCAGTATCCTGCGGGAACAAATGGCGAATAACCCAATCTTTGGTCAGCGGCTACCATAGGACTACATCTTCTCACGATGCCCCATTGCCTCGTGGGTTAGACCTTTAGGTCAAAGGCTCGGGGAGTGGCCCCCTAAGATAACCACCTGCTTCGGTTTGGGCACCCGGGCAGTATCACAGCCCACACACAAATGATGAACTCTCTATGTCTATGGAAATTACTTTTCTCGCTTCGAAAAACAATCAATTGATTCAAATTATTATCATTACAATTATTGTCATTACTAATACTATTATTATTACTTTTATTGTCATTATTATTATTTATTATTTATTATTTACTACGTTATTTCTTCACTCTCTTTTATTCCCACTTTGTGTATCTTTATTTTTCGGCTCATACAGCAGCTCCCCTATGGTGGAAACTTGGTTCTATCTAAACGTTTTCGAGTCACTGTCCGGTTAAAAATTGTATGGTACCACTGAATATGAGTACTGAAGCAGTTTTTCTGAAACCACGTGCACCGATCAAACTGGCTGCCTTCAACGTTCGCACACTTATGCAGGTTGGACAACAAATAGGGCTGGCTATGTCTTTGGAAAGTCTTAATATCGATGTCTGCTGTCTATCTGAGACCCGTATTCAAGACTCTGGTGAAGTACTACAAATTCGCTCTACATCTGTCACTTCAAAAAGCTTGTTTTACGTGCGCTTATCCGGGGACCATGTGGCATCTTCGTCTGGTCTTGCTGGCGTTGGTGTCGCACTCAGCGCCAGAGCTGAGGCAGCACTAGTCGATTGAATCCCCCCAGCCAGTTTGATTGGTGCGCGTGGTTTCAGAAAAACTGCTTCAGTACTCATATACAGTGGTACCATACAATTTTTAACCGGACAGTGACTCGAAAACGTTTAGATAGAACCAAGTTTCCACCATAGGGGAGCTGCTGTATGAGCCGAAAAATAAAGATACACAAAGTGGGAATAAAAGAGAGTGAAGAAATAACGTAGTAAATAATAAATAATAAATAATAATAATGACAATAAAAGTAATAATAATAGTATTAGTAATGACAATAATTGTAATGATAATAATTTGAATCAATTGATTGTTTTTCGAAGCGAGAAAAGTAATTTCCATAGACATAGAGAGTTCATCATTTGTGTGTGGGCTGTGATACTGCCCGGGTGCCCAAACCGAAGCAGGTGGTTATCTTAGGGGGCCACTCCCCGAGCCTTTGACCTAAAGGTCTAACCCACGAGGCAATGGGGCATCGTGAGAAGATGTAGTCCTATGGTAGCCGCTGACCAAAGATTGGGTTATTCGCCATTTGTTCCCGCAGGATACTGGAGCCCATGTGCACCAATGGTTTCAGATCCGGTAAAGTGCCGGACATTCGCTGTTCGTCCTCTCATCTTCGTAAACAACACCCCCGCCACGAGAAGGTAGTGAGTAGAACTTCCCTGGCAGAGGCTGTATACGCGTGGCCGTGTGAGAGCATTTCGAGACGTAGGGCGAGTCCACATTACTCTCGGCCATACGAGGGCATTTGAGGGCCACGTTGAAATTACAAATAAATGCATACATTATGCGAAATGCAACACTGACTTCATTTGTAATTTAATATGAATTATTGAGACCTACGTAATTAGATTTTTGTTTCTATGAGTAAAATGAATGATTTATGGAAGTTTTTGACCCGGTATATTCAAACGTACATAAATTACAACTTTGTATCAATGCATAAATATTATAAACATATGTCATTTTTAGTAAGGGCTTGCAATTTCCCCTTGTTGATGTGTCCTGAATATCAAAAGCGGGAAATTACGAAGCTTTATTGATACCTTCACACCCGTTGAATACATTAGTTGTTATCTGGATGATACATTGTGCAATTGATGCGAAACGTATATACTTCGAGATCCGATATGAAGGTCAGTACTGACGAGCAGGTAAATCTACCAGATGAGTCCAAAATAAGATGAGACGCTCATCCTGGGTCCCACTACTAACTGCATATCAACTATATTAAAATATGTCTATTTTGTTTGTTAAACTAAATTTTTGTTAGCCAACTGATCATTTCGAATGTGATCCATTCAAAAATGTTGTATGTATGTCTGTAAATCCTTCTTTGCCTTGTTTTCTAAAGTAAAGAGGATAAGATCAAACGCGGATGTTTAATAATAATGTGCTTTCAGTGTATGGCATGAAACGCTTTATAATAGTTTTGTATAGAGTACAAGCTCTTCATCTTAGCAGAGTCGTATATCGGAATAAAACCTACGTTTATTTACTCCGTTGTTCTCATTGATTTTTCAGTGGATACCAGTTTGTGGCGGAAATTACCTTCAACTCGTGACATTTAATTAGATCTTAGCTAATTTCAAGATGTACGGTTTGTTAATCTGTTTAATTACCCTAGGAATAATTTATTTGCTTTCAGTAGCTGAAATTAATTACATCATTCTCTCTACAATGTAGTGAATTACTTTTTAATCATTTATTACACTACTTACGATCACAGGATAGATTTTTGAGCCAATATGTTCATGAAGTACAAATTTTTAATGCTGTAAACCAAATAAATAATAAATACTGCGCTAAGACTGCTTACAGACGAATTCTTTTGTTATAGGCAGATGATTGGTGGCAGTTCATGTGATATCTATCCAGTGTCTTATGTTTCAAACACTTCTTTTCTAACCTTATTATCTACTAAGAGTAGATTAAAAGAAACATGAGATGGTCATATTAATTGGAGGATGAACATCGAATAGGGAAAATGAAAAAAAAAGAACCTGCCAATAGAATCGCATCATTACACTTCCAGGTAGCTACGTATAGATAATGCCTATCATCAAATCCTAACTCATCATTAGTATGTTTATCATCAGGTTCAGGTAATTGATGCTGTAAAAAATTCAACGAACACATCAGCCTTTTAATTTTTTTTATATTGGATCAAAGTAATGTTTTGTATTCTTATTTTTGGGACCTACAGTAAATTCTAATTACCAACTATTGTGGTTCTTTTAATGCAAACTCGATAGACGCCTGACGTGGGCTGACATTTCAACCATAATCCTCAACGCGATTGATGACAGGAAGCAGTTAATTGACCAGGAAAACTTGATATTCAAAAATACAAATTCGAAGTAGAATAGCTCTGTATATATTTAGTAGCAATCATAACCTTAAGGCAGTAAAATTAGCAAACTGAAATGGAGGATAGTTAGTCAAATGACAGCAAAGGTAAATGGGGATATATGAATTAGGAAAATGCTATCGTGGTTGTTGTTTCATGTATGCGCCGACATTTATTAGTAAAAAAACTAAATAACTTGTGGTAGTCTCGGGGAAGTTACCTTTATTCTTTGATTTTATAGTGATTGATTCCATTTATGTAGGTATCTTCTTCGAAATACTTTTCTTATATACATGTTTCTTCCACAAAATTTTTTATTTATCATGATCTGTCTACTGATAACGTCGTGAATTGTGTCATAATTTCTTTGTTTTTGTTTTAAATTACTGATTCGGTTTTTAATTCTTAAGAAAATAATTCCTTGATAACATGAAAGACAAATAGAGCAATTTTATCCATAAGTACATGAAACTATGTCATTGAACAGAGAGCAGCTTGAAGTGATATTGAACATTTGGGTTTAGATATTATTATTACTTTTATTATTATTATTATTCATACCAATACTACAATATATAGATCTAAAAATATTAGTGTAGTTTTTCTTTAGGCGGGTATTAGAAGGGACTTACTAAACCATGATACTAATATAATTGATAATCGTTTGCATTTCCCATGCCTACATTGTGGATTATGCACGAGGTGTAATACTCCAATTATATTTTGCCAAAAACCATTTTATGTCCTTATTACAAAGAATTCGACTTATCCGTTTGTTGATAATATTGCATGAATTTCGACCATTCTTTGTTGGAATATATGCATCGTGTGCGTATTGTCTCGATATTGCCATTATTCACAAGCTTTTCTGGAAGAAATGGATTACTGGCTAACAGTAGAATTCGGGACACGCGTTTCATCCTATTTGGGACTCGTCATCTGGGCTCATATGCATCCTAGTGTTGGTTCCCACATCCGAATACGAGCCCACTACCTTTCACTTCAAATGCCCAGCGCGTTATTCACTGAGCCACTAATTCCTGATAGCCATCCACTTGCGCAACAAAGGGTTCGAGTCCCTGTGTGAACATCGACATTGAGATCCGAATACATCTATCTGACATGTCTCAAATACAACGAAGCATGAGTCCTGGATTCTTCAGCTGACAGTAAATCCACCTATCTCGTAAAGGACTATTTTCAAGTATTCTTTTAATAATGGTTTTGTAATGGATATTTTTGTCTATGTTTATTGATGTCTTGATGAAGACAGTATTTTCATCCAACTATCTAACACTACCTTATTTAATAATAACTTACATAATCTTGGCAATGGTATCATGTATGAATTCTTTTTGTGTGTTTAGTGTTTAAACACAAAATAAAAATTCCCTTATCTTTATTCTTTATCTCCCACTTCAGTTTATCGGCTCTTCATTATTATTTGTTCATGATCAATCAGGCTATGCTAATATCTGGTTAATTGATTTCGCTAAAATAGCCAGTCCATCGAACAATCAAATTCGTGTAAATCATCGTTCTGTATGGAAACCTGGCAATTATGAAGATGGTTATTTAATTGGAATTGATAATTTAGTGAAATTATTCGAAGAAATTATTCATGAATGCCAGTAGTTCCAGATCTCATAGATTATTCCCTTTTGTTTTTCCGTTTCCATATATTTGCTAGTGTTTATATATATATCGGAAGAACATTACGATCTATATCCGGTTTATTATACAATATTCACATTTCCCATTTTTTACGTTGACTTCATAGAACTAATTGATCTTTCCATAGAACAACTATCGTGTTGTGCATTGACTCAATAATAGTGAGCTTTTCCATTTTGTGTTTGTTTATTACTCCCCGATCGTATCCACTTTTCCCCCACCTTTTAATGGCAACAGTACATTACAAAATAAATTAAAGCAACAGATCGCTTGAAAAAAACATCTTTTTTTTACGTTTTCATGTTTGTTTTTTAATTGATTTACTTGAGAATCAAAATTGTCTTCACAATGTATGTAAGACAGTTTCAATATCTTTTTTTACTTGTGATTTAGACATATTTTTGATAAATGAAATAGTTTTTTGTTCAAATGTTTTCATCATCAAATGTATTTCACCACATCTATTTTTTTCTAGAATTATTTTTTGTTTCTTTGACATAGTACTAGTATTCTCAATATTGATTTGTTATTGTAACATAAGTTTATCGATTTCAAGCACATTCCAACTATGCCAATTTGTACAATTATAAAATGTTGAGTGTTTCATATTTTTTCTTCTGATTCATGTGTGTTAATAAGTGAGTGACCTGTGCTGTGTGGAAGATATTTCAACTGGTATTTGGCTTCATGACACAGTAACTGGGATTATTGATCTCGCCAGTTCAATACAGTTCTCTCCCACAAACCATTACTTTTCTGGAGAAATTAAGCAAATGTTATTTGAGTCATGGCACAAAAATGTCATCCAATAGATTATGGTCTCAGGTTAATTGTAGGAATGATTTGAAATTAACAATGTGTCTTTTTGTAGCCACCAATTTCAACAGAGGGAGCATATTTAAATTCGTTGAGAAGGTAATTTTTCTATGAAGTAGTGCTTGATTTTAAGTTTGTAGAAGCAGAAGATTTGGAACCAAGTGTTCAATATGTGTAATGTGAGGATGTCTGAAAATTATTTGGTTGTTAATTGGGACTAAGGGAAATGATTTCCGAAAAACCTAATATATTAGGTGTTCGGTACAATAAACCACATATCTTGTGCCTCTTCTCAAGCCCTCTAACCCTTTCCTGTATATGATATATCAATAGATTATCATAAAAGTAATTAAATATCATAAGGCCCATGATAATCAATTTCCACAGGGAATCATGCAACTTAAAAGTTAGGCGGTAACCCAATGACAACGTAGGATGAGGATCTCGCTATTTCATATTTGTATATAATTGGATTTTAAATCAGTGGCTTAAATATAGTCCCTATATTCGGAGGTCTTGTGTTCCACTCGATGCTAAGTATCGATTTTTTAAAATTCGCTGAGTATTTTACCTTTATATCTTAATGTGAAATATGCAAGTATCCTTGTTTGAATCTAGACGAAATGAATGATTTATTTCTAGCCAAATGAAATACTTCTGTGCAACAAAAATGAGTTAAAATGTATGTTCATGTTAGGTGTGGGCAATTTTATCGATAGACACACCGCCAAACTAAGAAATTGAGACTTGATGATAAAAGTTTATCCTTGCCATTCATACCATGCACTTACTGAGAGATTAGTTTACTAAAGGAAAACCTAAAATGTGACAGTAACTGATAATTTACATTAGAGTTTATCAACAAGTGTTGAGTTCTGTTGATAAACAATATAAATTTTCATTTATGGAGTTTAATTCAAGTGTAAATGATATGAAGAATACTAACTGAATTTTCAGAACACAACGCGATGAACTGTTTAATCAATGAAAGAAAGTGACTAAGAATAATTAATGGAAGTTTCATAGTCTACATTAATTGTGTTAGTATAAGGATGAAAACGAAGCCGAAAATCATCAGAAGAATGGAAAATCTTGTTATTATTCTTGTAGTTAATATAAAAAGCTATGTGAGAAGATTAGTTTTTTCATATCTCAGTGTTGTTATTCTTTGCAAGTTATTTGATGTAACAGTTAATTGTAGGGTTATGCTCATGTACAATTGGAGAAGCATAAACAGAGATAAAATATTTCATTAAAATCATGAGCTGATTTAAGTCAGACCATTGAAAACCTGGGAGCACTGGACGGCCATCTCGACCTAGTATGGGACTCCTTGGCAGTACACGTCCAAAACCCCATAAACGTGAATCAAACTCAGGACCTTCAGTCTCGCATGAATGCTTAATCTCTAGACCACTGAGCCGGGATCCAATGGTGTTAATGTCTCCTGCAACTAGTTACTTTACTCATTAATAGATATTCCCATTTTCCTTCAATATTAGTCTAGCTTAGAACGGTTCATGATTTCAACGAAGTTCAATAATCTCCACAACCACATACTGACAAGATATTTGTTGAGATTTAGATGGTGGTCGGAGGTAGTCAACAGGAAACCATGGACCCGGGTTTCGTGCTATTTGTCACTCGTCAGCAAGGTGTACCTGTAGTCTTGAGGGAACTGATGCTCCCTGGCGGATTCGACCTCGTGTCACCCAGCTTCACAGTCAGAGACGTTACTACTGAGCTATCCGAGCCGCAACTGACCTGTAAATTAAATAGATCCATAAATCAATTTAGTATATACATTTTGTTTATAATACTTATTGGAATGTTACACCAATTAGATCTGATTAGTTCTGATTTAAAGTATTCCTTAGGTGAAGATATTCACTACAAATGTTTTACTGACATGATGTCTACTTATAAACACATAATATAACAAGTAACTTTGTTATATATAGAACTCCTGGTTGACATTTAATACTCACTGGACTTTGCTAGTTCTGGAGTTTTTTATTTTTAATGTTTAAATTCCAAGTCCTGTGTGTAAACATGCATTAAGATCCTGTAGATGACATGAGTTTCACTCAGTGTATTACTGAACTACACTCAAACCCTTGATGTATTTCCCTATCTTTATCAAAACTAGTCGCCCACACTTCAATTCCAATATCTCATTTTCTAATAGAATATAGTTCTACGTTGATGCTAGTCAACACAAAGCCTAGTCGAGTATCCCTATAAATGCTGGAGATGTTCTAGCCTCAGATAAAATATACTCAGTATAACTCTATACTCTTTTTGAATTAAAATGCAAACATATTTGAAAAAAAATTGTTCAAAAAGTACAATTTGTCCTCAATCAGTACTTTTTATGTCAGTTATTTATTCACATAAAGAATATATAAATAACCCTAACTTTATTGTTTCACACCATTTGACAATATAGTACTATTATATTTATTTAAGTTGAGTATATTGGGTCAGTCACGTGCCAAATTTAGCAAAATTTTAAAAACCATATGCTCTTGAATTGTATGGATACTAAAATGATTTGTATCATGTTTAATGTGATTGTATATTCATATGTATAATTCTAGGTACTTTTGTATTAGGTAAATTATAAATTTTCGGATGTGACAATCTACCAGAACTATTTATTTTATAAGATAAATTATGAACAATGAATATTCTATATGAAAGTTCATAATTAAATATATACTTGTCATTAGATTTTATAATTAAATGTATCAAATAACTAAGCTAGTTTGATTATAAATTCCGCTTGTTCAAAAAACATTGTTGTCAAGCTTAACATTAATTTCATTGACAGATAATTCCCATTTAAACATTTAAAAAAAACAAAGTATAGCGAAAGGGATCTCTTTTTAGTTAATGTAATAAGATGATTAAAATGTTTTTGTTACAATAATTAAAGGTCATAGAGGTGTAAGAATAAATAAGGTGATATGATGAGCATTTATAAATAAAATAATAAGAATATAAGACATAAGTAAAAGGGAATGCAGTAATAATAATATTAATTAAGGTCAAAGTAACGATAACAATAGGACCTACTTCTTTTTTACGCATGGTTCTGGTTTGAGTCTATGGATAGTAACAGCTTCGGTTATTTTTAGGAGTTGGATACGATGAAATCTAGGTAGATTTGAACAAATCATATATATAACCTTAAAATTAAACTGTGAATCCGTAAAATGATTACAGTCGATTAGGTGTTCAAGTATAGAACTCCTAATTGCTTTCCTCTTACTCTTGTAGAACCATTTTAATCATCTTATTACATTCATTGAATCTATTTTTATTATCTGTATTACGTAATTTAGTATTATAACCTTTCTATTACGTCATCTTGGTTATTCATATTCATATTTCCCCATGTAATCGGTACTTTCACAAAAAAATTTCATATATATATGATTGTACAGCTTGATAATAAATTCGTTTAAAAGAGATCCCTTCGCTGAAATTCGTGTTTTTAATTACTGTTATGATTTGTCTAATTACGTTAATTGATAGAAAAAACAATATCGCAAGAATTATTCAAGAGAGACTGTCCATAGTATGATTTTGATCAGTTTGATAAACTTCAACAGAATGAATAAACAATATTACAACATGTAGTTGTAAATATAATAAAACAAAATTGATTGTTATTTTCAAACTTAATTAAATAAATTACTTACACCTGTTACCACTCTTGGAAGAGCATGAACCGCCTACTATGATTCTCTATTGAAGTCTGTCATAGGAAATTCTTTGCAGTTGCTATTCATCCTTTTCATATCTGCTTCTATTTCTCTACATAATGTGTCCTTTGGCCTTCCTTTTTTCCGTTTCTCTTCAGGATTCCAAGTTAAGGCTTGCTTTGTGATACAGTATGATGATTTCCGTAATGTATGTCCTATCCACCTTTAACTTAATTTTCCTAATTTCCTCTTCATCTGAAAGCTGGTTTGTTCTGTCTCACAGTGGGCTGTTACTGATGGTATTGGGCTAACGAACATTGAGTATCTTACGTAGACAATTGTTTATAAATACATGTACCATTTTGATGATAGTTGTATTAGTTCTCCAAGTTTCAGCTCCGTACACTAGAAATATGTTGACGTTCGTATTGAAGATTGTGACTTTGATGTTGGTTGACAGTTGTTTTGAGTTCCATATGTTCCTCAACTGCAGGAATGCTGTCATTTCTCTGCCAATCCTTGCCTTCTCGTCTGCATCGGATCCTCCACGCTCATCGATGATGCTGTTCAGGTACATATTAATTTTGTACCTCTTCTAGAATTTCTCCATCAGGTGAGATTGGATTGGTGTTCATTCTGTACTGGATTCGAGTCCACTCGGATACAGGTGCATCCAGATGACGAGTCCCGAATAGGATGAAATGCGTGTCCTGGATCGTACTGTTGGCCACAATGCCTCTCTACTTAAGAAGTTGAATACTTGTTCAGTGTTGTCGAGTGGTTTATGTAAGTGATTTTATTTAATCATTTACAATAACTAACAGTGTTACTTTTGTGTTAATGTCTTGTACATAGACATATTACTTCCTTAAATAAAAAAGTTTATTCTTTTGGTTATTGGCTTTGTCTTTGATATTAGTTTATTCGGGATTTGGTTCAATAATTGTACTTCATGAGCAATCTTCACTCAGCCACAGTATACTATTGCATATTATCAATTAGTCTTTGGAGTTCATCCATCTTTGCAACCAAAAATCCTAAAATTTTAATAAATAATAGTAATAATAATAGTGGCGAAGTTGGCGGGGTTTAAACTCACGAAGTGGACCTCAGTAGATTAGTATGATATAAGCT